CGACACCTGGCCGCCTCTGGCGCTGGGAGGCGCCAGGAGCACCAGCTTTACATTCGAATCTGACTGTTCAGGGGGTCCTCCTCCTCCTCCTCCGCCTTCCTCTCCTCCCCCGAATCCTCCTACTACTCCTGAGCTGATCCTTGATCCTGATCCGATCCCTGATCCTTGATCGATCCTGTGCATGATCCTGATCCTGATCCTGATCCTCCTCCTCCTCCTCCTCCTCCTCCTCCTCCTCCTCCTCCTCCTCCTCCTCCTCTCCCCTGGAATATGATTCTTCAAGGGGTCCTGCCCGCGGGGTCGAGGGTGGATGGCAAGCACCACAGGCAGCAGAGGGAGCACGAGCAGCTGGAGCCGCAGCGATTTACCCCGCTCACTGGAGCCCCGAAGAAGTCATGCTTATCTCATGCAGCTGATCTGCTGCCCCCCCTTTGATATCCGCCGCGTCGGCCGCCCCCCGAGCAAGGAGGCAACCGTCGACCCTGCCGCCAGCAGCCCCACCATGGGGGCTTGCAGGGGCGGCGGCCTGCCAGGGGTGGTGGTGGGCGAGAGGGAGGGGGGAAAGACCGGGAAACGCCAACTATCCATGCACAGCGGCCCTTGTTAGGACAGCCCTGGGTCCAGGATCGATGTGCGTGGATGGTTGGCGTCCTCCCACCCCGCCCACCGCCCATTCAGGTCCAGGCCCGAGGGGCCCCTCAGGAGGCGGACTGCGAGTGGGTGGGGTGTCCGCCCTGGCTGGCCAGATCCGGTGCGTGTGCCGACGCCAGACCCGGCCAGGCCCATCCGTCAGGGCAGCCCGCACCGCGGGGACTGAGGTTTCCCCCGCCCCCCTTTCAACCCGCCCCCAGATGAGGTGTTGGGACGGAAGAGAACGTCACGCTTCACTATCACCGTGGTCTCAGCTGCCGTGAGTCCTGGGCGGGCCCAGGGTCGGCGCACCTGTCTTGCGCGGTCCAGCCCGCGGCCAGGGCTTGCCCAGGGTCAGCGGCCCGATCACCACACCCGGTGCCGACGTATGTTGGGGCCCCGTGCCAGGAGATGATGCGCTACCTGATGCGGCTGCAGTTGAAGGACCTCGGGTGGAGTGGACACGTTCACCACCGATCACTGCCGTCACCATCCATCAGCCACCAGCCACTACCCACCACCTACAAATTACCTCCCTCGCGCCATGTAACTGTCCTGTCCTCGTCACCACCACCACCGTCGTCATCATCATCACCATCATCATCATCATCATCAGCATCATCATCATCATCATCATCATCATCATCATCATCATCATCAGCATCAGCATCAGCATCATCAGTATCAGTATCAGTATCATCACCACCATCATCACCACCATCATCAGCATCAGCATCAGCATCAGCATCAGCATCAGCATCAGCATCAGCATCAGCATCAGCATCAGCATCAGCATCAGCATCAGCATCAGCATCAGCATCAGGATCAGCATCAGCATCAGCATCAGCATCAGCATCATGATCATCCTGATCCTCCTCCTCCTCCTCCTCATCATCATCATCATCATCATCATCATCATCATCATCATCATCATCATCATCATCATCATCATCATCATCATCATCATCTCCATCCTGTGTCATCCTCCCTCGCCGTTGTCCCTCATACTCCCACTCCCTGACAGTCCGCGCATGCCTCTGCTCCCCAGGACCTGGCCCTTGACAAGTCAATGATCTCGCTCGGCTCCTGCACCATGAAGCTTAACTCCGTGGCGTCCCTCGCGCCGTGCAGCTGGCCCGAGGTTGAGGAGGAGGAGGAGGAGGAGGAGGAGGAGGAGGAGGAGGAGGAGGAGGAGGAGGAGGAGGAGGAGGAGGAGGAGGAACAGGAGGATCAGGAGGAGAATTCGAGCGGATTCGAGCGATACCGACTAGCGACACGTCGCACGCTGCCTGCCACCAGCCACCAGCGCCCCTGCCAGACACTCGGACAGTCCCCAAGCCAGACTTGGCAGGATTCCGTAGCCGTTTTGGCTCAAGGCCATGGAGCACCCGACGACCGCGAGTCGTCCGCGGTGCTCTGAGCGTGAGGGGCTCTTTGCTTTGGGCCAGCTCACAAGTGATTGTTCTTCGTGCCAACAGCACGGGCCGCGAGGCCGCAGTTTTGGGCCGCGAGGCCATACGTCGGGATCCGCCTTGCCATGGTGGCCTACGGGCATGCAGCTGGGGGCCGCTCCTGGGCCAGCGCCGCGGCGGGCGGCAAGGCCAAGGGCGGCTGGAGCTACTGGGTCTGCTCCAGCAGCGTGTGCAGGGAGTGGAATTGGTGCTCGCTCTGGAAGTGCCGCGGCTGCGACCGTGTGGCCCCGCCGTGGGTCAAGGCAGCCCAGCCGCCCGCGGCTGCCGCCGGCCAGGAACCGCCCGTCGTCGACGCCGAGGGCTTCGTCGTCCAGCCCCGTGAGAGGAAGGCGAGGCGCCAGGCCAAGCGCACGGCTGCCCGCGCGGCAAGCGGTGGGGCCGCCAGCCAGGCAGGAGTCAGCGAGGCCAGCAGCGGGCAGCAGTCGGCCGTCGAGCAACACCGCCTGGAGGTCAAGCGCATCGAGGACTTCCTTGCGGCCCCTGGCGGGTCCATCGGCAAGGGGTGCCTGCAGTCGCTGCGCGCGGCCCTCGACCGAGAGCGGCGCAGGCTCTCGGCTGCCGAGGCGGCGCAGGCGGAGCGCAGGAAGGCCGACACCCCCCTGCCCAAGGCGCTCCACGGGGCTGGCAACGCCCTGGGGAAGTTGGTCAGGCAGGGGCGGGCCAAGGAGCAGGCGCTGCTCAAAGCTGAGGAGGCCCACGCGGCAGCCATCGGTGAGCGTGAGGCGGCCAACGCGCGCGAGGCCGCATGTGCAGAGGCGGTCGAGGAGTGCCGTGCTGCTCTCGAGGCTCACCGCGAGGAGCAGAGGGCCGCAGAGGCCAGACAGGCCAAGGAGGTCGGCGCGGCCTTCGTCGGCACGGACCTGCTCGGGATGGTCCATGGCCTCATCCAGCAGGTCGAGGCCTTGCCCCAGGGCTTCGCCGCGGGCAATGGGGAGGCCGCCTTCGCCGAGGTCGCCAAGCAGATTGCGGCGGTACGCAGGCATGCGCCCCCCGAGGCCAGGGGGCGCTCATCCTGGGCCGACACCCCCCTCGACGTCTCGGACGAGGACCTCGACGGAGATGAGGAGGAGCGGGTGCGGGCGTCTTCGGCCCCCCCTCTGCAGGACGCGGCCGAGCGCGGCTGAGCAGCACGCCGAGGAGAGGCGCACGGAGCGTGGCCCTCAGCCCAGCCGCTGGCTAGGGACCTGGCCAACGCTGGGGCAGCCCTCCTCGACGACCAGCCGCTGGCTACTGCTGCTGGTGGCCATGTTGCTGTGGGTCGGCGTCGGGTTTGACGTCGACTCGGCAGGCCAGTGGTCGGTTGACAGCAGAAGGGTCAGACGGCGCCTGAGCGAGCAGGTGCCAGTGGAGTGGGGAACCCACTGCCGTCCCCAGGGCCTGGGTGAACCTGCGAGTGCGGCACCTGGCCGAGGGGGAGCGATGAGGGCCGCCGACGGGCGGGTGGCCGTTGCCCCTCACCCCCCCGCGCGCCCCGTCGAGGCCGCTGACGAGCGGGTGGCCGAGTTCCTTGACGGGCGCAGCGAAGCTAAGGTGCCAAGTGACAAGAGGACGAGGATGACGGCGCAGGAGGCCTGCATTGGCAAGGCTCGCCTCGGGCCACAGCCAGCCCCTGAGTCTGACCCTCGAGGACCTTGCCCCCTGCGCGCTGGCCTCGAGGTCCTGGACTGCAGCGGTAACGTCTGGAACAGGAGCGTCGAGGTCCTCGAGGCCTTCTTCCACGCCCACCAGTGCTGGCCGCAGCTGGTCCTCCTTCAGGAGACGCGGCTTACCCAGGAACGGCTCCATGGGGCCAGGGCGCTGGCACGCCGCCTCGGCTACGCCGCTTTCTTCCATGAGGCGGTGGCGACGGGCCAGCCTGGCCCGAACGCCACGTCGGGCGGCGTCGCGATCCTGGTGAGGGCTGGGCTTCAGGCCGAGGAGTCAGCGTGCCAGCTCCCTGCGGGCCTGCGCCACCGCCTCATCGGCGTCGAGGTGGCGGCGCCGTCGGGCCTCCGTCTCCTGGCCTTGGCTGGGTACTTCCAGCACTCCTTGGGCCCGCGGGGGATCAACCTCGACCTCTTCTCCTCGGTCTCGGACCTCGCGGCGCTCTCGCTCGACTTGCCCTGGGTCCTCCAGGCGGATTTCAACATGGGGCCCGAGCCCCTGCAGGAGCTGGGCTGGCCTGCAGCGGTTCGCTGTCAGGTGCTCGGACCCTCTGAGGCGACCTGCATTGCCCAGGGCCTGGAGCACGTCTACGACTGGTTCGTCGCCTCGTCCGACCTGGCCACGTGCACGGTGTCCTGCGCGACCACGCTCAACGACTTCGGGCTGCACCCGCACTCTCCAGCGCTGCTGCGCCTCCAGGACGTCAGGTGCGATGCCCTGGTCGAGGTGCCCTCCCGTCCTGCTCGGTTCCCAGAGGTGGGGGTCAAGGGCGTGTGCTCCCGCGAGGACGCCGTGGTCCAGGCCTTCACTGTCGGCAAGCGCGGGGAGGTGTCGCAGAAGGATGTAGCTTGGTCGTGGGCTCAAGGTTCGTGCCCGACCAGCCTTTCTGCTGCTTTCGGCGAGTGGATCGAGGCGGCGGAGGGTACCCTCACGGGCATCCACGTGATTGCGCCAGGCGGCCTGCCACGCTACCTTGGGCGAGCGGCAGGGCCCAAGACCAGGCGCATGCCTTTCAGCGCGCTGGTGCAGCGTGAGGCCAGGCTGAAGTACAGCATGCTCACCCACCGCCTGAGGAGCTGCCTGGCGGTCGCCCTCCAGAGGCTTCGCGCGGAGCAGGCCAGCAGGTGGCACCCGACCCACCCCTGGTGGTATGAGCAGCAGGCTGCGGCGAGGGCGAAGCTCCTGGACGAGGCGACCCAGGGGGAGGCTTGCCTTCGGAGCGCGCCCCTCATCGGGGCGCCCGACGTGAAGTGGGGGGACCTCGCCTTCCACGCGGGGGTGAAGGGCTGCCCCACGGCGATCGCCAAGCTACAGTCGTGGCTCCTGGCGTCCCAGAGGCGCGATGCCGCAGAAGGAGCTGCCGCTTGGCGCAGTTGGGCCCAGACGGCAGTGGAGAAAGGAGGCCGCCTGGCCCACCGCTTCTCCAAGGCGGCTCCCACGCCTGTAGTCAGGGACGCCGACACAGGAAGGCCCCTCGTCGGCATGGGCGCCGTTGACCAGCTCACGCGCACGTGGCAGCGGCTCTGGCTTCAGGAAGGCTTCTCCGGCGGAGTCGGAGCCCACCAGTGGGATGTGGGATCCTGGGCGCTGCCGCCCATCACCCTGGAGGCATTGCAGCAGGCATACAAGCGTTACGGCCAGTCTGTGGGGCTGGGCTGCGACAACTTGCACCCTCGCCAGCTTCTCCTGCTGCCAGTGGCGCTGCAGCTTCGCCTGATCGACATCCTCACGGCATTCGAGGACGAGCCTTCCACGATCAGGGGACAGGTGACGCTCATGGTGTTTATTCCTAAAGCCGACGGAGGGACCAGGCCCATCGCGCTGCTCCCGCTGGCATTGCGGCTGTGGTCTCGCCTGAGGCAGCCGTGCTGTGCTCGATGGGAGTCAGGCCACAGCTTCCCCTTCTTCTGGGGTCGCGATGGCCGTGATTGCGAAAGAGCGGGTTGGATCTACAACTGCTTCGCGGGCTTCGCGATGGCCTCCCCGCACTTCGAGGTGGCCAGCCTGTTCCTGGACATCCGCAAGTTTTACGAACACGTGCGCCACGACGTCCTCTGGACGTCAGCCCAGCGCTTCGGCTTCAACCTGAAGCTGCTGCGCGGCCTCCTCGCCATCTACCAGGCCCCGCGGATCGTGCTGGCAGGTGGCATGGCTTCGGCCCCCTTTGGGGCCGGTGGCGCAGTGCTGGCGGGCTGCGCGTGTGCGACGGCTGCTGCGAAGCTTCCCCTTCTTGGAGGCCTCCTCGCTGCTGGGGCTCATCGGCCTCTTGCCACCCTGCGCAATTTGGTGGACGACGTCTCGCTCCAAGCTGTCGGCTCGGCGAGGCTGGTCGTGGACCAGCTCGTGGGGGCCAGCGGGGAGGTGCTGCGACACCTGCGGGCCCACCACCTCCCGCTCAACGAGGGCAAGTCGGTTTTCCTGGCCTCGTCTGCACAGGTTGCGGACGGCCTCGTCGCCAGCTGGGCCGCCCTCGGCTTCGAGGTCAAGCGTGGCTCCCAGGCCCGCAACCTGGGCACCGACGCCAACGTGGCCCGCAGAGGGGTCCATGAGGGAGGTGCCCGCGCTGTGGGAGGCCTTTCCCGCGCCAGGCGGCTGAGAACCCTGGGCTCGGCGGGGGCCGCGGTGGTGCACATTCGCCGCGCTGGCCCTGCCGCCGCCATGCTGTGGGGCAGGACGGTCGCTGGGGTGCCCGACGGCGAGCTTCACTCCTGGCGCCTGGCGGCTGCGCGCTCGGCAGGGAAGCTCCCCAATGGCGCCTCCCTTGGGCTGGGGCTCAGGGCGATCGAGGTGCAGCGCTCCGCCGACCTGGACCCGAGCCCAGCCCTGGTGCGCGCCGCGGTGCAGGTGGCAGCCAGCCTCCTTCAGACGGGCGAGGTGCCCCTGAGGATGTTCGCGACCTGCCTGGAGGAGGCCGAGCGCAGGCGCGGCTGCGCCAGGGTGCCCTGGGTGAACTGCAAGAACCCAGTCGACGCCCTGGCCCTCTCCCTGTTGCGGGTTGGGTGGCGCCTCTCGGCTGGGCACTTCC